TGGATGCTCGTAGAGAAAACAAGTGTCCAGTGCTGTGACAGCAACCAGCAGAAATAACCCATAGGGGAGGGCATTGCATGGTGCAAATCACACAGCCTCAGCTGCTGGGCTTTTAGGGAGAACTTCCCTCAGCAAAAAAAAAGTGTCCCAGAAGTGCCTCATGTAGGGCTCTGTACGTCTTCTCCCAAGCAGCTGGGTCTGACCTGGGCTTTGGAAATTAGAATAATTTTGGTGGGTCACTTGTGGACAGCGATGTAGGTGGCGGTCAGATGTCTGCCACCCAGTCTGCAGGCTCTTCTTTGAGCAAGGAGTTTTCCAAGGGGAAGGTACAGCAGAGAGCACCACGGGGCAATGGTTTATCATGGACACACAGCTCTCATTCACAAAATCCTGGCCGGGGTCTCCCCTCCTGCTGTAGAGCTTTAGTGACAAGCAGGATTTAAAACAGAAGTGGCATCCCGCAGCCAGGAGGGCCTCCTGTGTTACCCAGCAGACTTTGGAAGAGGTCTAGGTGGTGATGCTGATGATGAGCAAGGGACCTGCTTCTCTGTCAGTCACAGAAAAATTTCTTAGACTGAAAGAGGTTTTCTCACTACTAGTCCTGTGGGTCAACCAGTCATTTGGTTGACATCCCATCATTTGGCTGGCATCCCGTGGCCCCATCTCCTCCCAGGAGGGGACGAGTGGCCAGGTCCCACGGTGAGGGCAGGGCCGGTGGCACGCTGCTGAGACAGGCTGGCTGTAGCCAGCAGAGGGCATGGAGATTACACAGGCAGCCGGGCGTCACTGCAAGCCATGGGTGCGTTGAAGCACGACCGCGATCAAACAGTTCATTTCGATTAATTAATTCATTTCCCCCTTTCCCTTCCTCTGCCCGTACTTCAGGTGAAAGGATGCAAGGGAGAGCCTGGCTCTGGCTCGATGGCAGTGCCAGGGACTTCAGGACACGGTCACAGAGCTGCCAAATTCCAGCACTTTCTCCCCATGTCACCTTCTGTAGGACTTTACAGCCTGCAGTCGCCAGCAGATGCACCACATCACCGCGGGACCCCGCTGTGCTGCCAGTACTGGGTGATGCAGCCTTGCCCCAGGCTTTCCATGGTTGCTGCTGGAATTTGTCGTATTCATCTACGTGATTTTATAAAATAGCAGCTGGAGAACGTAATGACAAACGAGGCATCTTGCTTTGCAGTTTGTACACTGGTGTTGTACGAATGCAGCAGGCTTCCAGTCAGAAGCTGCGTTCTGGGTGTAATTTGCACATACACTTGACTTTCTGTATTATTGGTAATCCTATTGAAATCTGCATGCATAAAGTTAAGTGCATCTAATCAACTCTGCAGGTTCAGGTTTGTACGTATTAATTTCGTTTCGACTTCAGCATTTAGAGCAGCGTTTGCAGCGAGCAGTCACAGCACTGCGACGGTCCGGAACAGCCTCAAATTTTGTTTTTGCATTGAGGGCAAACATGAGATCAAGGTGTCCCCTATTGCTCTTAGAGACGAACAATACACACAAAGTTAAATCAGATGCTCGAAGTTATTTTAGGGTCCAAACTATCAGCACAGAATATATTTCAGTGGAAATTTTTCCTATGGGCCTCTGCGCATATCGCAGCTCCATGCTGGTGCGTGAGTCCATGTTTATGGATCCATTTGCAGGATCAAACCCTCATTAGCAATACAGATTAATGGTAATTACAAATATAAATAACTTGAGTGTATCTTCTCATTTTTCTCTGAAGACATTTCTCAGGGAAGCTCGCTAAATGCCAGACTTATTCCTTAAATCCAAAGTGTATTAAGTTCCTGTGTAACAGTGCAGTAACATAAAGTTAAATAAAGCTGCATTATTTTTTTTTCAGGCCTCCGAACATGCGGCTTGGTTCTCAGCTAGCGTAAATTGGACACCAGCTCTGGATTCAAATCCTTTTTTCCATACTAAGGAACTGAAAAAGTGAAAAATAAAATAAAATTGCTTTTTGGCTAAGAACAAAAGTAAGCTAAAATCTGAGGGATCGTTTTTCACAGTGTTGTAAGTACTGAAAATACGGCCTTATAATAAAAGCACTTTCTTAACCAGAATTCTGTAATTGCTACCGTGAAGTTGGGCTGCAAATGTTCACAAACTGAACGTTTTCCCCAGGATCCCGGGGAGATAGGGGCTGCTTTTAATGTGTTTCCCTGACGCGTGTCAAAGCACTGATGTTATTTAAAATGTGGCTTATCCGGACCAACCTATGGAACATTTACCTAAATCCTCTGCTGTTTGGCCCTGTTGGTGTGCAGCACATTGCAGGATGAGTGCCTTGGCAGTGTGTGGTGCCCATCAGCACAACTGGTTGTGTCTGGGCACGGCTGTGCCGCAGCCCAAGTGGCAGCTACGTCTCCAAAGCCGTGCCAGAAAGGCCCAAACCAATGAATCACAACTTCTGTGTATGAAGTAGCTTTGGTTTGAGCAACCAGGCTGTAAGCCGGGGCAACTGGAAGATGTCAGCAGTGAGTGGAATCTGTGCACAGAGGAGTTTACTCACAATTCGGCTGAACTTCAGAGCAGGGAACGGAGCTGTGATGGGCGTGTTTAAAACGGGCATGAAGCTCCTTCACCCGGGTGCTTTCCTGAGTTGAGGAGCTCGAAATGCCACATTTATTTTGAAATTTAAATGTGAGATGAAAAAAACCTTATGTATTTATTTATTTTTTGCTACATTTACTACCATTTCCAAAGACTTTATCATTCTGGAGGCGTGCAAGCAGCCTGACTGCATCAGACCTGCCCCTGAAGTGCCGTAGGAAGGATGGATCAGGGTCAGCCCATGGGAGGAGCAGCCCCCTGTGGCTGCACCAGTTCCCAGGCTAAGGCCTAGGGCTGCGGTTCTGACTGTGCCTGTGGACACCTTTGAACGGGTGGAGCATTCACGCTCCAGCAGAGTTTTGGGCAAAAACAACCTCTATACTTCAGTGATGAGTCACTGCTCACACCGAAGCCGCGGGATGACATCAGCACACAAACCTCCTCTTGCACACGCACACACACAGGACAGCTCAAGAGGTTGATGGTGTTGGTGGAGAGGACTTTTTTTTCAGTGTGTGTAGTGTCATGTTTTGAAAATGCTGGTGCAGAGTTAAGTAAGAGCCCAAAGTGCTCGCCATATTCTGTTTTTTTAAGAACAACCTGAAATTATTGAGCAGCTGAAGAAAAAGCCAAAACAGTTCCCTCCTGGGTGGGATAAATGAATCTCTCGGACCAGCCCTTGGTTTTCATGAGAAGCAATAAGGCAGGTCTTCCATCTGATCCCCCAGCTGAAGCTCTCTCTTCCATCCCATCCAGTGGGCAGCTTTGGCTCCGGACAGCACCGGGGCTGGCCGAGGTGGAGCGTGTGTGCAGGAGGGTTTGTGCAGAGCTGCGACGTGCATCCAGGATGCATTAAAACAGCGATGTGCGTGCTGTGCATGTGGGCTGCGACGGGGAAAACACCACTAGTGTCAAGTCCCTTGTTTGTTGTCTGGCTCTGCTGGGGATATCCAAGGCGAATTTGGGGATGGCATTACATCTGCCTGTCCCTGGGCACCCCTGGGTGCCAGGACGAGTATGGAGAGGCCGTGTGCCTGCCAGCACCCTGGGGGGCCACCCGTGTCACCTGCCCCAGGGCTGGAGGGTTCTGGGGTGCCCCGTGGGGGGAACGCTCCAGTTTGGGAGGGAAAAATACAACGGGTGCCAGCACCTAGCAGCGGGTGGGCAAGGGTGGCATGGAAGGGCCGGGCGATCCACGGCACCCCGGGAAAGCAGCAGCCCCCCCTTTGTCTCCCCATTTGGGCAACTTGGGGGGCTGCGGCCGGGCTGCGGGTGGGCTCCCGGTGCTGGACTGCATTTCCCAGCCTGCCCGAGCGCCCTAATGTATGCAGTGCCGAGCCGGGCTCCGTGTGCGAGAGTGTGTGTGTGTGTGTGTGTGTGTGTGTGTGCGCGCGTGTGTGTGTGTGCGCGCGTGTGTGTGCGCGGGTGTGCGCGCGTGTGTGCGCAGCCGGGAGCCCCTGCGAGAGTGGAGGGCTCATTCACTGATGAGAGCCGGCACCGAGAGGCAGCACCGCTCCTTCCCTCGCACCCCCGGCGCCTCTCGCCCTGCTACATGCGAGCCGCGGGGCGCAGCGGGGCCAGCACGCCCGGGACCCCCCCGCTCCGCGCCCGCCTCCAGCTCCGCGCAGCGCCCGCCGCCAGCCGCACCGTGAGTACCGGGCTCTCCCCCCCCCTCTCCCTCCCCACAGCCACGCGCAAACTTTGCGGGGCAACTTTCCCCCCACCGCACACCCCCTTCCCCTCCCAGCCGCCGGCCCCCCCCAACCTTCGCCCTTTCCCCCCTTTTTTTTCCCCCCTCCCCGGTCGCGGAGGAGCGGGCGGCTCGGCTGCAAGGAGCCGCGCTGGCCGCGGGGAGGGCCGGCTGGGTGGGGATCGGCATGGTAATGCCGAGGGGAAAGGCAGATAAAAGGGGGCCCCCCCCGCACCCTCGGCGAGCCCCGAGCTGCCCGGATCCCCCCCCCTTTCCCGGTGCTTTCCGGGGGGACCGGGAGCCAGCAGGGGGATCAGGTGCCGGGGACGCCGCCGAAGCCCGGCTGGGGACGGCGCACGGCGAGGAGGGGGGGGGTGACCCGGCACGGAGCCCTCGCTCCGAAATATTTGCATTTTGAACTCTATTTTTTTTTTTTTTTTTTTTCGGAGGGGCAGCCGGGGGAGTTGTTTCCTCGCTTCCCTTCGCTGAGCCCGGGATCTCGCTCGCTCCGCGGTTGCTCTGGGCAGCAACGATTTCATTTCCCAGCGGCTGCAAAACAAAAACTTTTTCAAAGGAAATAAGCAGATCGGCTGCCCGTGCCACGCACAGACCCACCGGGGGCTTTTCCTTTCTTTCTTTCCCTCCCTCTCCTTCTTTTTGAAAAGAAAAAAAAAAACAAAGAAAAAAAAAAACAAACACACGGTAACCTTTTTATATTTTACGCTTAAAAAAAAAAAAAAAAAAAAAGTATTTGCAAACCCGCCAGGCTCTCCGTGCGCTCAAAACCCCCGGAGCAGCCGGGAAATTTATTGACTCCGGAGCTTTCATTTTTGCAACGGTGCGGCGCCCGTGTGAACTTTAGTTCGAAGCCGTCCCCAAAATGCGCCCGAAGACCGAATCCGATTTTCGCCCGCACTTCGCAGGCGGCCTCTGAACCTTAATTTCGGCCGGGGCTGAAGTTGGCAGCGCATCCTCGGCTCTTCCATCCATTCATTCATCCATCCATCCCTTGCCCCCCGGCCGCCCGCAGGTAGGAACCCCCCGCGGGGCTCCCCCCACGCGTGTTTTCTTTTTTTTATTTTTATTTTTATTTTTTTTCCCCTGCTCCCCTTACCGCAGAGCTGGCGGCGGAATTCAACGAAAGGAGCAAAAGTCGCTCCCAGGCGGGGGTCGCGGAGCTCGGGGGTGAAGGAAATTCCGCGGGGTTTCGCTTAGGTCCTTTAGGAAACTTTGCGGCTCATCCAGCGGCTCGAGAAATCGCGGGGGTTTGGCTTTTCTTTTAACCAACATCCCCGGCTCTAGCCCAGGGAAGTCTGTAAATAGGGTGGAAGCACGGGAAAAAAAAAAAAATAAAAAAAAAATAAATTCTTCACCTTCAGATCTGAATACATAAAAACCATCTGGTTGACCACAATGAAATCATTAGGAACTGTCTACTCAAAGAGTTGTGCTCAATGCTTATCCTTCCACACAGGAAACGTGGACGGTAAGTGATTGTTGCAATAAATTCAAACGACTCCGGGCATCTTCGCGTTTGATGAGCTTTGCGACCCGCTGGGTGAGGAGGGCAAAAAAAAAAAAAAAAAAAAAAAGGAAAAGGGGAGAAAAAAGGGCACCCGGGGGCTGCTCCCAGCGAGCCGTGCCGTGCCGAGCCGTGCCACCAAACACCTGTTTAATTTACCGGCGGGGACGAGCGGAGCCGCGGGGCTTTAGCGGGGCGTCGGGAGGCTGCGACGTGGGCTTGGCCCCTTGGCTTTTTTCCTTTTTTTTTTTTTTTTTTTTTTTTTCCATTCGCTTTTCTCCAGCACCCCTCGGAGGGGGGATCGGAGGTGCCGGTGCCGGTGGCCGAGCGCGGTTTTCGGTCGGGTTTCGCCGCGCCGGGTGCGGGACGGGGGGGGCGAGGCGGCGGGCACGGCCGTAGGTAGGTGCCTTTTTTTTGTGTCTCCCCCCCCCCCTTTTTTTTTTTTTTTTTAATTTTCTTTTGCAAAACCCCAGGCGCTTCCTCCCTGCAGCCCGCCGCGGGGCATCCCCCTCACCCCCCGGGGGCTTTTTTTTTTTTTCTTTTCTTTTTTCCTTTTTCCTTTCTTTCGTTTTTCCTTTTCTATTTTTTTTTCTTTTTTTTTTTTTTTCTTTTCTTTTTTTTTTTTTTTTTAGAAGTTTGCAGCAAAACAAAACCCGCGGCCAGCACCGGCCGGGGGGCAGGGGCCGGGCCGCGGTGCCCACCAGAGCCGGGACCGGGACCGGGACCGGGACCGGGACCCGGGCTGCCCTCCCCTGCCGCCGGCTCCCCCGCTCCTCGTTCTCCTTTTTTTCGTCTTTTCCCCCAAAACCGGTTTTCACCGCAGCTGCCCGTGTGCGCGGCTGCAGTTGGCATATTTCACGCGTTGGAAAAAATTAACTGTTTTTCCTTTGTATCTTAATCCAGTGATGAGAGCTCTCCTTTGTTGGCTTTCGAGCTTGCATTTGTTTTATTTATTATAAGGAAATCCAGTTTGGTTCAAATATATAATCCATTTGAGCACTTAAATCCCCAAACAGCTGGCATTATTTTGTTTTATAATCTTTGGCTTTTCTACGCAGAGCATATTTCTAAATTCCTACTTGACATTTATGGGGAAAAAACTTTTTAATGTAAATGGATATTGTGATTTTTTTCTGGGTCTCTCCTAATTTACATGCATCATCAATTTCCCTGGGTTTCCTTTTGTTTTAACCTTTTTTTTATTTTTTTCACCGTAGGTTGTTAATTAATTTTTTTTTTCCCTAAGAAAACTTTGTTTCTGGAGGTAGAAAAATGTTAATTTGCCCCATTATTTTAATCTCTGGCATTTGGAAATGGTTGAGAGACCACAAAAATGCAACCTGTTGTAGAAACCAGAGTGGTGTGCTTTATTTATTTTAATCGATAGCAGAGAAGTGATTTAGCAATAGGAACTCCGAGTAACGTTTTAGTAAAAGATTTGCAGATCCGGTGGCTGTGTCCGCGGCGTGCATGTGCTTGCATATGTGTGTGTTTCTCCGCAGGCTGATTAGCAAGTGGGTTTTGTGCTCCCAACCAGGGCTCACTCCTGTTTTCCTCACTCGCTGGGTGTGTGTGATGCCTGCTAAATCCGCCTCCGTCATGGTTTCTCCTACTTTTATCAGACTTTCCTCTGAACTAATTCAGAGCAGCGTTACAATCTTCATGCACAGAGGAACTAAAACTGAGCCAGAGATAACTGATTACAACTTGTTCTTGGTGAGAGATTTTTTTTTTTTATGGTTCAGAGCTGAGGCTGTTGATTCGATTTGTCTTGGTTGTGGCACGTTCAGCCTTGTTATTAGCAACATACACATTTACACAGGTAATTTGTCTACACCTTAAACAGGGTAGCTTTAGAAACCAGTAACTATGCAGATAGGTAGCATTAAAAACAATAATTAAAAAAAAAAAAAAGAGGATGTTTTCAGTCTGTGCGTCTAACCTTGAGACTTGGTGGACAGTTTATGTAGCTTCATAGATTGATCTTCACCCCCCCTCCCTCTGCTCCTTGTTTAGTTAATTCAACAAAGACTTTTTGCAATCTGTTTGGAGTTTGTCTGATGCCGTGGAAAAGTAGCTGCTGATTTATTTGGTTGCTTTTCGATTTCTGTCTCTAGCCCGTCTTTTCTCCTCCTTTCAGCGGGGATGTCAGCTGTTATTACTTCCTATTGATCCCTTTGCAAAGTGAGAAGTGAACTAAAATTAATGTCAATTCCACTGCTCGGATCAATAGCTGGAGTTATTTTAATCTGGATTTGCGCGAGGTGCTAAATTAAAAAAAATCAGCATAGAGGCAGAAAAGTAGCAGTTACTTACTTCGCCTGTGCCCGCTGCCTTCCCATCACCCAAATGTTCCGTCCAGCTGATTATCCTGCAATCCATATTTTTTTAATTAAGAAGGTCAGTTAGTTTTCTTATTTGGGGTTCTGTATTTAAACCTATGACATTTTGACATTGGGAGTGTATTAACGACAGATTTTCATAATGACTGGTCCGCCGCAGCCTAATCTGTACATGTTGCTGGGGGGGGGGAGGTGCTGAGCGGGAAGGAGAGCAAGAGAGAACGAAAAAGGAAGTGGGAGTTGAAAAAAAATGAAATTTGGCTGGGTGAGATATTATAATGTGTTGATTTATTCCCTGTGTAATGAAGTTTGCAAACGAATAAACGGCCGTAGTGATTCACAGTATCCTACAGGAGTGTCAAGTGTTGCGGCCAGATTACTAATTTCTGAAATACATTCAACGTAATGGGGTGACAGCACAAGTAAAAATAGAAAAGGAGGCAGAGGTGGCTGCTTTTTTTTTTTTTTTTTTTTCCTGGAAATCCATATTTTTCGTGATTGCTCGGTTTCACTTCCACGTTAATGATTGTTTATTTCTGAGAGCGGCGGTTTGTTTGAAAGCATGCCTTTAAATACAGGATTACGTGCACGCATATATGTATTTCCATGGTTGCGTAAGCCCCCAACAATGCCAAATTTGCCAGGGGATGCAGTTCCCTGGCCACCAGTTTCTGAGCAGCCTTGCGTAAAGCAGCAGAGCCGGCGCACCAGGACTGCAGCACTGAGCAGGATGCCCTTGGCATCGGCCACAATCCCTCTCCCCCATGCTCAAGAATTGGACAGGAAAGTTATTTAAAATTTGGAAGAGAGCAGATCCGTTAACGTGAGATACTTCATCTGGTAATTTAGCAACGCTGTCTGTGAGGAGGGGTGCCAAATGAGGAAGCAGAGAGATGATGCCCACTCATCTTCGCAATTAATAACAGTCGCTGGAGTGCCTGGGTACAGGATGGGGGAGAGGAAATGTTATCACTGCACTGCATTAAAGCCACCGGCTGGATTTCATACACTTTGTTAACCTAGGCTCCCTCATTCATGGAGTACAAAAGGCACTCCATTAGGGAGACACTCTTTCAGTAAGTTTTATTTGAGATGTTTGACCCTCTGGATTTAAGAGGCACAATTTGTAACAGCTTTTTATTATTATATGATTTTTCTGGCCCTTTGAGCTCCAGCGGCTAGTATATTGTTTCAAAGTTATAGTCCTTGTATTTTAAGCTGGGCTGTGGGGCCTGAATGGCAGGCAGCGGAAACTTGAAAGAAAAGACACTAGATTGATTGGGGGAGAAAATAACAAAGCAAAAAGCCCAAGCCAACTCGGAGAGATGCAGAAAGGAGCGGCTTTTCCTCCTTTTGCTCTGGGAGGGGGTGGTGGCTGGCTGGTGGGCTGTAGCCAGCCTAGGAGGCTCAGCAAGATGCAAGTCAGAAATTTTGTTAACATTTTCCTCTAAATGTTAATGGCACATCCAGGGCAGTTTACAAATCTACTTAAGAGTGAGTGCATTAGGAACTAAAATTACTGATCCATTCTCTCTTGTCCCCGACCCGAAAGGCAGACGTTTGCAGAGATCAGATGGCAGAAGCACCCATTATGATTTTAAATATTGTCAGAGACGCCAGGCATTTTATTGGTGAAGTCTCTTCTCCTTTTGCTAAAAGGGAGAGTGCGTGCGTGTGTGTTTGTGATGATGTATGGCACACACGCATCCACACAGCCCCGTTCGTACAGCCCCACCGTCTATGGGATTGTGGCAAGTGCTGTGGGTGCCAGCATTACCCACAGATATATACCGGGAGAGGGAGAGGAAATACACGGCTGCGATGCGTGTCTTAGGCATCGTGTGCAGTATGACACATCTGGTGGCTTTTTTGGGTAACTGTGCAATAGGTATTTTTGTGCTGGTTGCACACACGCACAAGCAAATTAGGGTTGTGTGTGTGTGGGCAATAAGCTGATGGCAATTACATTTACATGCCTCTTTTGCCACTATCAAATTCCAATTTCAGTTTGGAGCTACTATCTTAATTTTAGACCGAACCTTGTTTAGTAGGGGGTTATTAAATCCGAGCGTTCCTCTCTTTGGTTTGCCTTTCATCCGTCTGCACTGGATGACAGCCTGTAACCTGGAGGGCCAGAGCTGCTCCCACCAGTGTGTGAAGTTGTCTATTGATTTTCCTGAATGAGAAGAGCAGCGCGTCTCTGGCCGCTTGGTTGTAACACAAGTGGCCACCCCGCTGCTGGAGCTTCCCAGGGAGACGAGTGCAGAAACCTAACCAGTCATTTTTTTTTTTTTTTCTTTTCTTTTCTCTTTCCTTGCAGCGTTCGGAGGGTGATGATGCTCCACTAGGTTTCCCTGCTCCAGCCCCGGGCCTCGCTTTGCTTTCCTTCCAGGGAAGACTGTTCCGCCTGCGATCCTGCTGAGGAAAGAGACTCCGATGGACTTACACCGGGCAGCGTTCAAGATGGAGAACTCACCCTACCTCCCCAACCCGCTGGCCTCCCCGGCGCTGATGGTGCTCGCCTCCACCGCCGAAGCCAGCCGTGACGCTTCCATCCCGTGCCAGCAGCCGAGGCCTTTTGGGGTCCCGGTGTCAGCGGACAAGGACGTGCACATTCCCTTCACCAACGGCTCCTACACCTTTGCCTCCATGTACCACCGGCAAGGCGGGGTGCCGGGAGCCTTCGCAAACCGTGACTTTCCTCCAGTCCTTGCTTCACCTCCACCCCCAGTTCGCGCCCCCCAACCTGGACTGCACCCCGATCAGCATGCTGAACCACAGCGGGGTCGGGGCCTTCCGCCCCTTCGCGTCTACCGAGGACCGGGAGAGCTACCAGTCGGCCTTCACGCCGGCCAAACGCCTCAAGAACTGCCACGACACCGACTCGCCCCACCTGCGCTTCTCGGACGCTGACGGCAAGGAGTACGAGTTTGGCACCCAGCTCCCCTCCAGCTCCCCCGGCTCGCTCAAGGTCGATGACACGGGGAAGAAGATCTTTGCGGTTTCTGGCCTCATTTCTGACCGGGAGACCTCGTCCAGTCCCGAGGACCGAAGTGACAGATGTAAGTACCTCCGTTGACTTGTTGGTTTTCCTCTAGTTGTGCCTCGTTGAGATGCTCGACAGGTGGCTGTCCTGCGGTGCTGCGGCTCGTGCGGACAGCAGAGGACAGGCAGCCTTTCCTCCCTGCCGGGCTAAACCACGCAGCGTTGCCTCGTGTCTTATAAATGGACAACGACAGGTCTTAAGGGGAGGTGCTCTGGAAGGGAACTTGTCTTCCAGCATGCGGCTGGGGACAAGGTTGAGCTGACTTTACGTGCAGACAGATGTCCGTGCCCCAGTGCAGGGATACAGATGCTGTACGTGCATGTGTGTGAGCAGGGGGCCAGCTGGAGCGGGTAGCCACAGACATTCCCAGAGCTTGTAGAAAGTGTGTGCACCCTGATTCTTCAGCTATCTTATCCTGACCTTGTCTTCATGCCCACCCTTCTTGTAGCAAATGGATTTGTGCCTTGGGCTCAGACGCTGGTTAACTCGAGAATATTTTTGGCCACCGAGCACCCTCTCCAAGACACAAACCCCAAACTGCTCCATGGCTCAGTGAGCAATTTCCCAAAATATGCCATGTGCTTTCCTTGCCTGCTTCCCCCTTTGGAGGCTGCTGAAAAGCAAAGCATCCTTTTCCAGCTGGGACTGAGGCGAAGCAGCCCACACGTCCATGGCTGCTGCTCCCCACTCCCCTGTCACCTCTCCCTGCTGGTGTGGCAGCACAGAGGGGCACTGTCCTCCCTGATGGCTTCCAGGGGTGCTGAGCAGGGTGCTGACCCCTCGGGGGGCTGCTCGGAGGGAAGTGGAGTGTCATACCCCAAAGAGGAACGCCAAGTTACGCTCAGTTTGCCTCTAAACCCAAGCAGCAAGGGGTTTGCTTTTAACGTGGGCTCCTTTGTTCTGTTGAATTTTCTTCCTAGAAAACAATTTTGTTATTGCAGTCATTATTATTATTACTATATATTATTTTTTTTGCGATGAAAATCCACTGCGCAGCTTCTTCCTCTCCCTTCCCGACGTGATTTTTCCTCTCCCGTTTATGATGCCGAGGAGAGTAATAGAGACATTGTGGCTCTCTCTCCCCTGTCGGCGCTGCTTCCTCAGGCTGTCTCCTTGAATTAGGCGCTGTGCTAACTTACCGGCGCTAAAAGGCATCTGCCTAAACCCAGCGTACCTTTTCAATAAAAGTCATCATAAAATCAACCTGCCTTGTAAATCCATCGCTCTTTCGGTTTTGAAATATGCTGCGAGTGTGTCTTTTATGTCAGCGTCTGCGAGGGTAGGGCGATTCCCACTCAAGGCAGAAGCTGAGTGCTCCTTGCACCACCGACGTGATCTCTTCCTTCTCCCCCTGCTCCCGATCCACCCCTGGCCGTGGCACTTTGTGTGCCACAAGCTCCTCGCATGGCTCAGCACCTCCCGGCCGTCCTCAGTGGGGCTGTGGGGCCGCAGCCGTAGGTGGGAGCGCATGTGGACGGGTGCGTGTGCGTAACCACTAGCATAATTATTTTGCTGGGGGGAGGCGGGTGAGGTTTCAAGGCTTGGGGACATTTTTCTTCTGTGCCCTTTCCCTTTCCCATACCACCTGGCTGTGGGAAGGGAGCTTGCTCAAAAAATACTCCGGGAGATCGCGGCGGAGGAGTGGGTCCGCTCGCTAAATGAATTTTCGAGCGCATCAGCTGCCGTGTATCTTGCTGGCCACCCCGTCAGACCCCCCGTTTGGAGAAGTAAATCTGTTAAAGGAATTAGGTGGCACGGCGCGCAGCTGCGGACCGAGGTGCCGTGTCCTTGCCAGCACCGAGCACGGTGCCGCGTCACCGGGGCTGGGCACAAGCACCCGGCACCGCGCTGCCGCAGGGGCTCGCCGGGAGGGGAGGAGGAACAACGACAACTTCAGCCAGCTTTGACAGCTCGCCCAGAGGTGGAAGGTGGTTCGGGCTGCTTTTCCTTCCCCGTATCACCGCGTTTCTTTAAGACGCTCGGCTGCACGGTGGAGCAGAGCACAGGCGACGTCCCTGATGTTTTACTGACATTAAAATTCTTGCGTAACTACCGGGACAGTTTACACTAAACATGTCTGTTGGCTCTGTATCATATTCCCATCATATATAGATGCTGCACCATGGAAACTTAGCTCCATTAGCACCGCGGGTTTATCTGGCGTGTGCATACGCGCGGATGGGAGTGTTTGCCGGAGGCCGAGCGAGTGAGCAGCTGGGCTTTTTAGTGGATCCTAATGATCTTTTATGCTCACCATTAGAAAAGAAAAACTTCCGCAAAGAGGAATTCAAGAGGCTGCGCTTTGCAGATCTAATCGCGATCCCATTTCGTATTGACACTTACATACACATTTTTGGAGTTTCTGTACAAATGAGTGCTGCGGGGGGTTCTTGTTTCGGGGTTTTGGCTCCTGAGAAGTTTTGGGCATTCCGGGTGTGCCTGTTTGATATGTCAAGGCTGCGTGCTTTTGCTCCTGATGGAGAAGCTGCTGCAGGTAGGTGACTGTAGCTTTGAGGCAAAACGCTTCCACAAGAGCTGGCAAAAATGGAGAAATTTTCTTCAATCGGCAACACCTTCATGTCTCTAAGGGGTGCTCTCCAGATGTGCAGAGCCCAGCCGTTTAGTTGTCTTTTTCAGATTCCTGAAAGGGTTTGTGTTATGTGGAAGATGAAGCACTGTAATTGCACTGCAGAGTCTTCTGTGCTACTGCATGAGAACCCTTTTTGATTAGCTCATTAAAATGTTTGTTTTACCCCATAACTTAAAGGGTGATTTTCTGATATTTTTTTTTTTAAGGAATTTATTGCACTGTTTTAATATTCCTGAAAAATAACTTCACACTCGAGGTACTTTGCAACACAATGAGAACCCAGGCAGGCATTTTCATCCTGGGCAGTGCTTGGAAGTTACTCTGGGCATCAAGGGAGCGAAGTCTCATCCTGTCTTCACCAACATAGAAAATTTGTTAAATTCAGTAAAATTATTTAGGATTTGTGCTGGTGTAACCATGATTAGCACCTGGCCCTGTGAGATCTGTTTGTATGGAGGCAATAGCTTGGTCTTTGGATGAACGGAGATCAGAGGCAGGGGGCTGCTCCCCAGGGCTGCTGGACCTGTGCTGGGGTCTGTGCCACCTCTTGCGAAACGGGATGGCTGCTGTGAGTGCCTCATGGCAAATCAGGCTGAAATTGATGTTCTTGGACACGGTGTCCCTCGTTTCAAAGCACAGGCACCGAGGACGTCCGGGGTGATGTTGTGGCCAGGGAGCGTGTACGGCAGCGCAGCCTTTCCAGGGAGGGCAGACGTAAGGCGTGCTGGATGGGGCCCTTCGGCGGGGCCTTGCTGAGAAACATAATGCCATTTGTTGGAGGTTGGGGGCTTCTTGTAAAGCGTGTGTTAAAGACACTGGGCGACGTGTTTTATGGGTTTCCTTTAATAAGCATACAATAGTTGAGATTCCTAGAAGGAGTGGAAATAAATGGCGTGTTCCTTTCTGCAAAAGAGATCTATAGACCCATTTTAAATCTGAAAAAAAAAAAAAAAAAAAAAAAGGCCCTTGTTTTTATTCTTTGCTTCCAATAAAATCTGTCCCAGTGGCCTTCTGTACCCAGTCACCACGGCGTCACTTCCCCATGGAGTGACGGGCAGAAGTCCATCCCAGGACCAGGGATCTCTGGGCAAAGAGCTGGACCTCATCCCAACCAATATCTCAGCCACATCTCTGAGGCTTCCTTGCTGGTTCCACAGCAGATGGCTTCCCCTTGCTGTCTTCTCCTCACATCATGTGTTGTCTGTGACTTGCTGCGGAGCTCGGCTTGCTGTGCCAAGGACCTGCCACCTCTTTGTCCTCAGCTTCCAGCCTCACATCACAGCCCAGCTCCTGCAGCCTCAGTTTCCCTGCTGGTGCTGGTGGCTCTCACCCTGCTCCTGGCCTGCTGGTGGGCACCTGTGGACCTCACTGTGTTCTTGGGACTGCTGTGTGTGGGGTTATTAACATTGCTTTTACTATTTCTTTTCGATAATAATATTTATCAGTGGTTCTTTGCACGTGATCACTTTGTCCTGTAGCCAGTTGCTCCCCTGCAAGTAAAGCTGTGCACCATATCAGTGGGCTCCTTGTTCCAGTTTGGGGTTTCAAAGCCCATCTGCAGCATGGAGGTAGCTCAGCTTTGGAAACAACAGTTTTGTTATCGATCAGGCGCTGCGAAAATGTAAATCGTGCTTCAGGCGGTGGACACCAGGGCTGTGATGACCACAGCTTGAATTCCCAAAATCCACAACACTGCGGGCATCAGACCTGGGCTGCCTGGGCACAGCCCCCTGCCACACACACACACACACCCCGTGTAGCGCTGCCACCCTTCCTGAAGCACTTCACCACGTCCGAGGCAGGTAAAATTTGGGGTCTAACGCGGAGCGACGCTTTGCTGCTAATAATAATCCAGCCGCGACCACGGGAAATTGCAAGCTTAAAATTGCTTATGAAATAATGAAATAAATCAAGTGGAACGTTTGCTTTCCGCCTTTCTGCCTTGGGTGGAGGCGCAGCAGGTGGGTGCTCAGGAGGGGTGGGCAGGCAGAGGGATGGGATGGGATGAAGGTCCCCATCGCGTGGTCCCCATCTCACGGCTGGCACTGTCCTTGTGGAGCCTGGATGGAGCTCGGAGCCCGTCCATCCCTTCTTTTTTCTGCTTCTCTGGCAGCAGCCTTCGCGCTCCCCCTGCAAACTGTTGCCCAGACTCCTTTCCAGGCTGCTCGCCTTAATTGTCTTATTGGGATAAAGAAATGTTTGAACAGTAAAAGTGGGGACGGGCTGGGTGGGAGCAGCCCCTGCCGGCTGCGGGGCCATCTGGCACTGGCTCGCCTCTGCCCGTCTCCAGTTTATATTTCTCTCTCTGCTCCGTGGGGCTCTCCGGCACACTCGGAATACCTAATGACCACGGGGGGACACGCCACTGCCTGGCCGTGCCCTCCCACCCATGTGGGTGGCTGTGCTGCTGCTGCCCCCCTCCCTGC